GCAACTTAACAATTTATTGTTATCTTCTGTTATCTTCTATAACAGAAACCCTGTTTTTTAGGCTTCTGATATAAAGAAACTTTCCCAGCCATATTTTGTAAAAAGCTAGTGTTAATATAGGAACATAACACATCCAGCCCATTTTCCTCTGTGGTGTACCATCTTGTCTCAGTGGGGCCTCAGCAGGGATGCAGATGCTTTCAGTGAGAAGAGTGGGGAGATATTCATCCCCATATAGCCATTTCCTTGAGAGGCTAGGTTTTGATTTGAAGCTGGAAAGTAGTTGGGAGATTTCTGGGGATGAGAGGAACAGGTGGCCCATGGAGGTATGGAAGGACACATGTGCCTCCCTCCTGGCCTGACCTAACATTAGGTCCTCAGATGTCAAAGAACCTGTGTCCGTGAAAGACTCAAGAGAGCCTGGGTGAAGAAAAACAGTTGGGATGAAGGCCAGCTCCTCTCCTAACCTCTGGGGCAGTTCCTACCCATTCAGAGCCAGGGGAAACAGCAGGAATAAGTGTGGTACCCTGGAACCAGCCTGAGAAGACAAGGTCCTCACTGAGGACACAGGAGTGCACAGTCCTTGGCTGGTTTGTGGAAGAGAAGCTCACAGCAGAAGAATGTCAAGACACCTGGTCCTGCACGGTCCTTCTTAAGGACACTTAACAGTAAGAGAGGAGGGGTCAGAGGAGCGGGCAGTGGTCCCCAGCCCTGTAGGAGGAATTAGAGCTATCCTGACTGGACCTCTCTGTTAGAGGGATAGCCTGAGAACGCTTGGGACATACCTGTGTTTTCAGTGGCTTTCCTGCACATCTGAAAAAGTACATTGTTTTTCTTATTACGAATGCAGGTAGAGATGGGAAATTCCCATGTACATTGCCAGCCTTGGAATTGAAGGTGGACTTGGGAAGGAATGATTTCCTTTACATATTCGTTTCCCTGTTCTCTTCCAGCATTCTTGGTTCCATAATAAACCTCAAATGATCACCACATTGTGCGGAATAAATGGTTTATCTTTACATTCCTGCAGGCACTTGCTTTCTCTCTCTCTCTCTTTCTCTCCCTCCCCCCACTTCCCCCTCTCTGGTTCTCTCCCTCTCTCTATGAGAAGAAAATTTTGCCTACAAGCTTTTTGACTTGGCTAGAAAATAGCATAACCAGTGTGGGGCAGCTCTTCTGACCCTTTGGGTCTATATCAAGGATGAAAGTTTGTTCTTACATAAGGGAGTATAAATGGTGGCACTGTTCTGATGAATTCCCGTCAATGGGCTGCCTGCAGAAGCATGTGGGTCATGAGTCAGAAGCACTGTGATAGCCTCTGCATCTCACCACCTTGCTCACCAGCACCCTCTTCCATTGCCACTACAACACTTGCCTCTGTCCTTCAACATTCCAAAAGCTTTCACTCTCCTCTGAGGTCAGCAATATATTTAAAGCGCTCGTTTTCATCCTGTTCCCATTGGTAAGATTTAGTTTAATGTAAGACACTCAGAAGGGAAATTCCTTTCACTCTTCTTCTGGGAAATCAGCTTCTGTGTATTCCACGTCCAAACCCCTTGCCTCACATTTCTGGTAAAATTCAAAAGTTCATAATTTTGCTGAAACAAAGCCACATCTTAGGCAAACAGGCATACCTCTTCACATCAGTATATGGTTCTCTTATTAAAGACAGGGCTTGGGGTTTGTTCTTATTTTATTTGTTTAGTTACTCTTTCATAAGATCTTAACAACTTGAATTTTCACACTTTTTAAAAATTGCTAATTCTTTAAAGTAGAGTGAAAATATGCAGTCGTGGTTTCAATGAACTTAAACAGCTCAACAGTGTCCCCTGGTGGCCATGAACACAGACACAGGGTGCTTGAGCTACGGGGCAATATTTAGCGTACAAAACAAGGTAGAAGTGTGTCTCGTCAAGATGAAACTCCCTCTCCCCAACTCAAAAAATAGGAAATGCTAATGTGAATCAGCAATGCAAACCTTCAAAACATGAGAAGGACCAAAGAGTAGGAGACTGAATAGCTATCCATTTTGATAAGTCACCATGGGAAAAAATGCCCAAATTGAACATCTCTTTCCAGCCCCGAAGTTGGTAAATTCTTTTCGGTCTAAAGCCTTTATTAACTAACCAGGCATTTCTTCAATGCCAATACCACCCGCTGGCCCTTTGGGGGTTAGCCCTCGTATGCATTCATTACAAAAATATTCTTTTGTTGTGCTATCATTGTCCTTATGTGTGCTCACACTGTCCTTACGTGTTGGGGATTCAATGTAGAACACACAGACAAAAATCTCTGTCTTCAAAGAGTGCCTATTTTAGTAGGGGAAAAGAAAATAAACAAGTCCTGAAAACGAGTTCTATGAAGAAATTCAAGCAGAGGAAGAGAATAGAGTGATGGGGTGGCAATGGCAGATGAGTTTTGAAAGGATGGGCAGGGAGAGGCTCTCTAGGTAATGGCACTTGAGCAGAAACCTGAGTGATTATAAAGAAGCTATGGGGAGAGAGTGTCCCACGAAGATTACGCAGCAAATGGAAAGTCCTGGATGCAAGAACAAGTTTGACCCGTTTGAGAAATAGCAAGGAAGGATGTTGCTGCTTTTAGTGAGAACGGGAGAGGGCAGAGGGAGATGAGGTCAATGAGGTAGGCAGGGGCCAGACTCCATGTTCCATGGTAAGGAACGTGGATTCCATTAGAACCCTAATGCAAACTCATAGGACTGTTTAGAGCTGGGGATGACATGTTCTTATATGATTTTAAATTAATTTTTATTGGAGTATAGTTGATTTACAATGTTGTGTTAGTTTCAGTTGTACAGCAAAGTGAATCAGTTATACATATATATACATCCACTCTTTTTTAGATTCTTTTCCCATATAGGTCATTAGAGTATTGAGTAGAGTTCCCTGTGCTATATAGTAGGTCCTTATTAGTTATCTATTTTATATATAGTAGTGTGTATATGTCAATTCCAATCTCCCAATTTATCCCTCCCTTCCTTTCCCCCGGTAACCATGAGTTTGTTTTTTACATCTGTGACTCTGTTTTGTTAATAAGTGCATTTGTACCATTTTTTTAGAGTCCTCATATAACCAATATCATGATATTTGTCTTTCTCCGTCTGACTTACTTCATTCAATATGACACTTTGAGTGATATTTTTAAAGTTATGGCGAAGATTAAGACTTAGGGCAGCAGGGGATAGGCAACTGTGAAAACAGGGAGAAGAGTTAGAATGCTATTGCAGGAGTCCAAGCAAGAAGTTGCTGGCTTGGATTAGGTTGCTAGCGGTAAAGGCAAAGGTGGGGAGAAGTGGCTGGATTCAGAACGTTTATTTCAGAAACAAGCCAGCTTGTTGATGGACTAGAAATGGTGGGAGAGATAGAATCAATTATGATTCCTTTTTTGGCCTGAGCAGTTGGTGAATAGGAATGCCAATAACTGAGATAGAGAAGCCTGGGTGGAAATGGATTTGGGGGTGAGGCAAGAGGTGAGAAATCAAAAGTTCTACTGGGTTTGCCTATTAGATGTTCAATAGGATATGTTTAGGAGACAGATGGATACATATTTGGGACTGCTCGGCACATAGGTAATGTTTATAGCCGTGAGACTGGTAGAGATCGCCTAGGCAGAAAGAGTAAATAAGGAAGAAAAAGGAAGAGAAGAAGGCGAGGCGAGGGGCATCAATAAAAGTATTCGGTTGGCCAAAAAGTTCATCTGGGTTCTTTGGAAGCTCTTATGGCAAAACCCGAACGATATTTTTGGCCAACCCAATAGATGGACCTAGTGAAAAAAAACTGAGAAGGAACAGCCAGCAAGGTAGAAGGATCCAAAAGCCAAGAGAAAAGGTGTGTCAAGGATGGAATGCCAAATGCTGTAGAGAAAATCCTATAAGAACAAAATTGGACAGTGGGTTTTGCAAGATGGAGACACTTCCAGTAGAGCATTGAGGACAAATGCCTCTGGACTGGAACCAGTTAAAGAAAGAAGAGGAGGTAAGGCTGTGGAGCCTACACAACATTCTTTCAAGGAGTTTTACTGTAAAGAGGGGCTGAGAGAAGGCAGAGTAGCTGGAGGGAACATGGGATCAAAAGAAGTGTGTTTATCTTTTCTATGTTTTCATTTAAAAATGAGATATTACAACATGCTTGTGCAGTGTTGGGACTAATTCTTTACTGGAGGGAACTGAGGATGAGGCAAGAAGGGATGACGGGGTTGAGGGAGGATTCACCTTAGGAGTGGGGACAGAGAGAAGATAAAATATAGGTTCTGCATGAAGTCAACAATGGGAGATTCGGGAGTGGAAAGTCCTCACCTGATTACTTTTTTTTTTTTAATTTTATTTATTTACAAAAGGTTGTTATTAGTTATCTATTTTATACATATTAGTGTGTATATGTCAGTCTCAGTCTCCCAATTCATCCCGCCACCACCCCCTCACCTGATTACTTCTAATTCCTCAGTGAGATAAGAAACAGGAAGCTAATAGTCTGAATATTAGCTCAGAGTGTGTGTGTTGGGGGATGGAGTGAGCATCACAGATTTGAGGAGACATGAGAAAATGAGTGGAAAGTGAATTTTCTAGGGGACTAGAGTGGGACTGCCAGTCATTTTTCCCTGAGAGTAACCTACTCTTAAGGTACTTGTAACAGAATGACAATTAAATATGTTACTGAGAAAGAAAGAGTAATAGGAAAATTTCTTTTTAAGTATGAAATATTTTAAATATTTCAAATATCCAGAAGGAATTTAACCAACACTCATGTGCACACTACCCAGATTTCTTCAATGTTCCTATTTTGTTTCAGGTACCTTTTTAAGAAATAAAACATTGCAGTTCAGGCTGCAGTGCCCTTAGTTCCCCTCTCCAATTTCATGTCCTTCTTCCTCTTTCTCTTAAACTTCATTATATAAAGATAGAAAGTAATAGTGTGCCTCTTTATTTGAGCCTATACAGCTCTGCGGTGACTTTGTTCATCCAAATGCTGTTATTCAAGATTTACCTGTTATCTGCGTTGTCAGGGAGATGACCGCAGGAAGTTCAGAAGACAAAGCCTGGATGCTGACACTGTAGTTGGTACCTGGCCTCAGGTCCAAACACGTCTCAGGAGCCTGGCTGCTGGCAGTGATATTAAAGACCATTTCCTGGGCAAATTCCTTCTGATACCATCTCTGGCCCCAAATGTGGAACTAAAACATAGAAAAGTTCACCAGGTGAATTGCTAGCTTGAAAGGCTCTGAATGCCTGGATACCTATCCTTTCTCTCACACTCTCTTACTCTTGATTCTAAAGTGCCTTCAGAAAGTGAAATACGGCAGAAAGCAAATATTAGAGTTGTAATACCATAAATATTGTAATTACAGTATTATCAGTATCATAAACATATTTTTAAATCAAAATGCACAAAAACTCGAGGCCCCAACACCGACAACTTTCTCTTTCTTGTTCTCACACATATAACGGCACACGCCCAATGTGAAAGTCTGTTGTTAAAACCACAGGAGCAAAACCAAAGAACAATTTCCTAGAAAGAAAATTAAGAATCTGAACTAAGGCTTCTCCCTGGGCAGAACGTGCATTAGGATAGGGGTCCCCAACCCCCGGACTGCAGACCGGTACCAGTCCACGGCCTGTTAGGAACCAGGCCACACAGCATGAGGGAAGCGGTGGACCGAGCGAAGCTTTGTCTGCCGCTCCCCATCGCTCACATTACCGCCTGACCCATCACCCCACCCCCTGGCGGTAGAAAAACTGTCTTCCACGAAACAGATCCCTGGTGCCGAAAAGATTGGGGACTGCTGCATTAGGGTAATCCTAGTCGGTTTGGTAAAACCTGGGAAGAGTTTTCCTCCTCTGCCCGCCCCCTTCTGACATTCCCTACACTTTACTGTAACATCCCAGCACCTGGGCCAATAGATGCACTTTTCTTCCTACTTAATTGCTTCTAGTAGCAGCTCATCCCATGGTCTTTACCTTTCTTACTCACAACCACATCTAGCTTTAGAAGTTCCCCTTGACTCTCCAGGCAACAATTCAGACCCTGATCAGAGGCACTGGTGTGGAGAGACACACACTTGCAAAAGCCACTGGCTTCCTTCCATGACACTGCCTGAACATCAGCTCTGCATCAGGCTATGTTGCACAAAGAACCTCTCATGATTTTCTCATCAATCCCCAAGGTCTCTGTCTTCAAATATGCAGCAGAAGTTCCCACTTTCTTGTTTCTTACTGCAATTGTCACTATAAATCTTCCACTGATAATGGCAGCTATGTAAGTAGTTTTTTTGGTTTGTTGATATTTTTTGAACCTCCCACACAAGACAAACACCTATAAACAGAGTAACTTTCAGTAACTTACTAAATACATCTCCTCTATATCAGCTGTCTTCATACTTCTCCATCTCAAGCAGGTTTCATTAAATATTGAAATGTTACTGATGGTCTGTTTTACTGCAAGGGGAAAAGAATGAGAAATCAACTTACACCTTATACCAAAATACTACCTTTTAATTGAACAATATTCCAAGGATAAGCATTTACAGCGGATGACTTCAGCAGTATTTTAATTTAGAAATAAGTGGTAGCAGTCCAAGAAACACCATTTTTATATTTATGTAAACACAGTCCTGATGAAAGATTTAAGATCAAAAGATACCCAGTCTGAGAATCCTTCTTAAAAAATTAGTTAAGTCGATCCACTGCAAATTCCCTTGGTTTACTAAGCTAAAACAGCGACTCATTGTCCTGGCCTTGGACAACCTCATTTAGACAAACAAGCATCAGTTTGAAATTCTGAGCTGAGAGTAACATTTCCGCAGAGAACTGAGAATTACTCCTTGAGGAAATGAAAAAGGCTACCTCAAGCAGTCAGGCTTTTCATGATGAAAAGCGGGGAGTGGTCCCTCTTGGTTTGGGCTCCCTCATCTCTTATGATCAAAGAAGCATTCAGTGGTCTCTGCTCAATTTCATGGTAATGAATCCAAAAGATAGTTCAGTACTGGTACCATATAATACAGAGGCACATCCCCCAAGCTTTTTAAAATAAAGACGAGTTATTCAAACAACACTGTAATTCAACTATACTTCAATAAAAAATAAATTTTTAAAAAGACTGGTTATTCAAAACTCTGGTATCAAAGGTTATTTCCTTCAACGATGATCCCTGTCCTTAAACTGAAAATAATACATCAGACTTGCTAAGAAGTTTCATAGGAACACTGTGATGATTAATAAGTGATAAAGAACTCCCAAAGCATGTGAAAAAAAAAGAAAATCTCATGGGAGCCAAACCTTTATTGTGTAAACCCCTGGACCAACAGGTTCCTATGAATGAAGCCTAGTTGATAGATGCGACCCCTTTATGGATGGGGCAGCTTTGCCCAGAGAAAACCTGTTCCACAGGTCACAAGCTATTCTTCAAATGCTGTAAGACCGAGTAAGGAATAAAGTACGGATGATTCAGGATAAAGCAACCTTTAAGGAAGGTAAGGAAGATGTTTTTAGAGATAAGTAGTAGTGGCCCAAGGAAACTCACATTTATGAAACTTTCAAAAAGCATATAACTTCAGTAGTATTTAAACAGTTCCAGACCATACAAAATGGTAGAAAGTTTCCCAATTCACTCAGTATGACTGGATAATCCACAATGCCCAACGTGTACAAGGACGGCACAACCAATTACTAAACACACTATGCCAAATTCACTTATTAATATAAATACAAAAATAAAATATTAACAAATAGAAGTCAGCAGTACGTTCAAAGAACAATACACTATAAACAAGGGAGATTTACTCCAGGAATACAGAGATGATCATTACTAGGAAAGCTATTTATAGATTGAAAGAGAAAAACCATATGGTCACTTTTATAATCATAATGGTTAATACATCTAATGTACATTCCTGCCTAAAAATCTTAGCAAACTAGGATTTAATTTGATAAAAACTCCTTGATTTGAAAGAATGTTTATTAGAAACCACCACACTCAGTGGTAAAACAATTTCTAATAAAGTTAAGAACAATCCAAGGAGGCATGGTTTCACAGCTATTATTTAGCATTAGTCAGGAGATTCTAGACAATGCAGAACGAGGCAAGGAAAAAAATGAGCTATAAATACCAGAAAGAAAGGGAACAAATTATGCAACTGACAGTAAATTAAAAAAAAAAAAACAACTGAAAAACAAATATGCAATTGTTTGAAAACGACAGAAAAATAATAGGAGTTTGGCAAAATGCACCCAAAGACAAGAACATAGAAAAACTAATCGTTTTCTACATATCTGTAAGCACAAGTATGGTAGGCTGAATAATGGTCCCTTCAAAGATGTTCACATCCTAGTCCCTGGAATCTGTAACCATGTTACCTTACATGGCATAAAGACTTTGCAAATGTGATTATAATAGGGAGATTATCCTGGATTATCCAGATGGGCCCAATGCAGTGACAAGGGTCTTTAAAAAAGGGAGACAAGAAGATCAGGGCCAGAGAGAACTGAAGGTTGAACTGATGAGCTTTAAAGATGGAGGATGGGGCCACAAGCCAAGGAATGTAGGCAGGGTCTAGAAACTGGAAAGAGCAAGGAAATAGATCCTCCCTTTGAGACCCCACAATGAACACAGGCCTGCTGACACAAATAAACTAAAACCACAAATAAAATATAATAGAAAAATTAAAAGATTTCTATTCACAAGAGAAGAAACCATGAACAAACTTCAGATACCTAGCAATAAATGTAACTAGAAATGTCCAAGACTTACAAGAAGATTTTTTTCCCCCAGAAGGACATAAAATAAAACAATAAAGAGAAAATGCCACATCCTTGAATGGAAAGATTGAAAAAAGTGAAAAGATATCAATTCTCCACCAATTAACCTGTAAGTGGAATGTACTTCCAATGGTGATTCCAATGGACTTTCTTGGAACGTGATAAGTTTACACATTATTCAGTGAATAGAAAGTTCTCACCATGTCAGGCATGCTTTGGGGCTAAGGATAAAGTGGTGAGAAAACAAAGTCCCTGCACCTAATGGAATTCATTCTAGTGAGAAAGGCAGAAAATAAACAAGTGAAAAAATAAATTTTAAAAATATAGGGCTTCCCTGGTGGCACAGTGGTTAAGAATCCACCTGCAAATGCAGGGGACATGGGTTAGATCCCTGGTCCGGGAAGATCCAACAGATGCTGTGGAGCAACTAAGCCCGTGCACCACAACTACTGAGCCTGTGCTCTAGAGCCCACAAGCCACAACTACTGAAGCCCACGTGCCACAACTACTGAAACCCGTGCACCGTAACAAGAGAAGACAGCGCAATGAGAAGCCCGTGCACTGAAACAAAGAGTAGCCCTGCTTGCCGCAACTAGAGAAAGCCCACGCACAGCAATGAAGACGCAACGCAACCAAAAATAAACAAATAAAATAAATAAATTTATTTTTTAAAGTATATATATATATATACATAATTTTGTGTACTGGTAAAGACTATGAAAAGCATCATACAAGAATAGAAAGGATGGTTAGGGAAGGTCCTCTGTGGAGGTGATATGTGAGCAGAGACCTGAAGGATGAGTGAGTGAGCATCAAGAGTGGAGGAAGAGGGGTCAGACAGAGGGGGCTCCAATGTCAAAACCCCACATGCAGGAATCAGCTTGGCACGCTCAGTGAACAAAAACACAATTACTGCTAAATTTGGGGGGGGAAGATTAATGAGAATAACAAGAAAAAATTAAAATAAAAATATTGAAACAGGACATAACCAGGTTTCAGTAACTATTATAAAATTATGACAGTATTTCTCAACCTTTTTTCATTATAGCCCTACACAGAGCCTTTTTAAACATTTTTTTCCCTAATCTCTCACACTTTATAAAATTTTAATACCACAGGTATGTATATGTTTCTTATTTACTATATGTTTATCTATGATTCATATATATATATATTTTTTTAGTGTTAATTTCCTGAGTTTTGTTTGTTTGTTTGTTTGTTTTGGCTATGTTGGGTCTTTGTCGCTGTGCCCAGACTTTCTCTAGTTGCGGCGATGGGGGGCTACTTTTCACTGCGGTGCACGGTCTTCTCATTGTGGTGGTGTCTCTTGTTGTGGAGCACGGGCTCTAGGCATGCAGGCTTCAGTAGTTGTGGCTCACTGGCTCTAGAGCACAGGCTCAGTAGTTGTGGCACACAGGCTTAGCTGCTCCACAGCACATGGGATCTTCCTGGACCAGGGCTCGAACCCGTGTCCCCTGCATTGGCAGGCGGATTCTTAACCACTGTGCCACCAGGGAAGTCCTATGATTCATATTAAAAGAATAATATTTTTCCACCCCTCGAGAAGCAATTTTTGCCCGTTTAGCTGATTTTGCCCCCCCACTCCCTGGGGTGAATTGAGAATGCTAAATTGCTAGTTTGTTGCTAGCAAAGGAATAAACAAAGAGGTCAATGGAGAAGAGCAGAACCCAGAAACAAATCTATCTATGCATCGGAGTTTATATAAGATAGGGGTGGACTTTCAAATCAGTGGGAAATAAACTGAGTTGGGAAATAGTTATCCATAGAAATAAACTAATATTAGATCCCCATCTTGACATACAGGCAAAAATGATTGCAACTGTAATAAATTTTTAGTTAAAAAATATACTAGAAAAGAATATAGGAAAACAGTTCTATAATCTTGGTTAGGAAAGAAATAATAAGAAAACTAGGAAAAAATTTTTTTAATTTGACTAAATAAACTCTTAAATTTTCTTTAGGGCAAACGATTCAACAACCTAAGTTTGAAAGACAAGCAACAAAGTGTGAAAAAAAAATTGTAACATATTTGAAAAAGTTGATGGCCCTGATATCTAAACAACAATTACCATGAAGAAAAATACCACCAACAACACATGAAAAGGAGCAATAAATAGAAAAAGTGATTCATAGGAAAACTGTAATAGGACAATCAATAAGCAAAGAGGTACAAATTAAACCAAAATAAAATATGCTTTTCACTTATTAGGCTCTCAAACATTAAAAAACTGGAATATCCTGCATTGGTGAAGGTGTTGGAAAGCAGGTGTGTGTGTAAATTGATACAGTCTTTGTGGAGAGGAATTTATGAGGCTCTTTATCTTGGTAATTCCACTCTTAAGACTTAATTCTACAGAAATATCCTGCCCAATTATGCAAAGATACAGTACATTTCATCAAACCTAAGATACCATTCTTGTAAGATGCACTATTATTTTGTTTTATTAAGAAAGAAAAAATACTGCCAAGTAAATTCTGTCATGATTATTTTCTTGTCTCAGAATTATTTTATACTGGTTGAAAGCGTTTTTTCAGACCTATAGAAACATTAAAATTTTATAATATATAATAAAAGAAAAATAAAAAAATTGATTGAGACACTACTAAAATTTCTCCATATTCAGTATGTAACAATTCTCAATCACTTTTCAATTAAGAGA